AGCTGGCTTTTTATAATTTTTACTTCAAAAGGCTTCTTTTTCGGATCGATTCTCCATTGACATGAAATTTAACATATTTTTCAGATTTTCCCCTCCTCAGAACCTTTTTAAAGCTTTTTTAAATTTTCCAAATTTTTTTCTCCCTGGAGCATGTTTTTCCTATGTATGGTTAACACACGGGGTTTCAGACTTTTTTTCATTTTATTCTATCCTTTTTTTGTAATTTTTTTATATTTTTCACTGTCTTTTTGAATAGCTTTCCTCATGAAAAAAAGTAGTGCCGAGCATATTTTTTTGGACGTTTTTTTAACATTTTCCACATCTCGGGGACTGAATTTTTTCGAAAATTCACACGAGAGCTCAGTTATTAACTTTTTATCATTTAAAAAAATCCTTGGAGCTGATTTTCTTACCAAAATCACACACGAATCACGTTTGAGCCACTTATAGTAAATCATTTAATTTTGAAAAATATTCACGCACTTTTCCAAACAAAGCTTAAAGAACGCATCAGACTGATAAGGATTTTTTTTTATTTTATCGAATTTTTTTGAAATGAATTTACTATATTCCGGATAACAAGAGAACAAGAAAAAACAAATTGAAACTTTAAGAAATAGAATTCGATAGACAAATCTGGTCAACCTTAAAAATTGTGATAAAAAAAGTAGAGCCGAGCATATTTTTTTGGACTTTTTTTCATATTTTTCCACATCTCGGGGACTGAATTTTTTTCGAAAAAAATTCACACGAGAGCTCAACTATCAATTTTTTTACTATAAGAAAAAAATCTTGGAATCAAGTTTGAGCCACTGATAGAAGATAAAAAAATGCTTGGAGGCAAAAAAATCAAAAAAATTTCAGGAAAGGAACTTTTCCATAAGCAGCTCAAAGAGGATATCGTGCTGATAAGAATTTTTTTATTTTTATCGGATTTTTTTAAAGAAATATATCATATTCCGGTTAATCGAAGAAAAAGCTGCTTTTTGGTTTTTTTCCGCGTCACATTTTTTTCAAGTACTTCAAGACAGACATATAAGTTATAAGTTCCTTTTCGATATGAAACCTGAAGACCGAAAAATAATAAAAAAATAATTAATCTGTTCTAAAACTGAATAAAAAGGTCGTCTGTCCAAATTGTTAAAGAAATTATGCATATGAAAAAAAAAAATCTAAACCGGGCCAAGCATATTTTTTTGGACTTTTTTTTGTACGTTTTTTCTCCTTGGAGCATATTTCATCGGAAAAACTTGCACAAGGCTCAATTATTTTTTTCTTATTTTTTTCGTCTGGGAACTTGATAAAATGAACCAGCTTTTTGTAAAATAAATTAGAAAAATTTGTAGCACTTTTTCAGTACAAAAAAATAGATAAAAAAATCACTCAAAAAAAATTTTTTTAAATAATTTCTAACCTATGCGAGGCTTTTTTTCAACTTGGTCAGCAGGCCAAAGCCTAATTTTTAATGTTTTTTTCAAGGCTCTCCATGAAAAAAATTCGAAATAAAGGGGTCATTAAACGTTTGAAATAAGACAAAGATCAGAAAAAAATCCCATTTGAATCCATAGAAAAAGCCGGAAGTAACCAAAAAAATTAAATAAATCAGGCCGATTATATCTATCGGTATACAACCTTGGAGCATTTTTTTACGCTTTTTTTGGCGATAATTTTTCACAAGGCCGAAAAATTCCAACATTATCCGCTAATTAAGAAATACTGGATAAAAAATTTCACAGTTCATTTTTTTCAGTTCAACCTTTTACAATGCTTAAAATTCAAATTTTTTGTTCAACCATTTGAAAATCAATTGGACAGCAACTCGTTCAGAAATCAAAGAAAAAATGGAATCATCAGGAAAAAATGAGGGAGAAAAAGTTATAAAAATCATGTCAGCAGAAGAAATGAAATATTCAAATATTAGGCAAAAAAGAAAGTGCAGAAAAATAAACGGATCTGTAATAGTTTAAAAAAATTCTTTTTCCGGGGGCCGGAGGCACAAATAATTGGAAGAAAGAAAAATTTCCTATCCTTCTCTTTTCGTAAAATAAATATTTTCTTGAAGCTTCTTCCCTTTTTTATCAGTCAAAAAAACTTTTTTTCTATCAAAGTCGAATTTATATTTAAAAAAAGGAAGAAAAAAACCAGTTACTTGTCGATTTTTCCGATGAAGACCCCGGAGTTCATGAAATTGAAAATTAGAAAAAAAAAGTTAAAGATCGAGGAAATTTAAACAAAATCGGGTAGGAAGCGAGTTTTTTTAACCGATGAATTACAAAAGCAATGGGTAAAATGAGCAAGAAGTACCTGTTCCGAAAAATTCCAAAAAAATAATTGAGGAAGGTTTTTCGCCTTCAACCCGAGCATAAAAGTCGGTTTTTTCCCCCTCGGAAGCTCTTTTTTTGACAAGAACACGAGGTCTCAGATGTCTTTTTTTCCGTCAAAGTGCAAAAAAATTCACAGTGAAAGTATTTTTGGAATGGAGAAGGGGACCTCTTAGGACGATATAAAAGCCGCATGGAGCACCAGGAAGCGAATAAACCTCCTTCTAAGCGTCCTTTCAATCTAATGACCATTCTAAACCATCCGAGTTGATACTACATCTGAAGCTCCGGCCAGGAAAACTGGAAAAAAAATTCGAGGCTTTTTGGACGTAAAGGACAGACGGGATTTTATCCTAAGCAGAGATAGAAAAAAAAAATTCTCAAGATTATTCAGATGGGTGTAGACGATCAAAGTGCTCGAAGAGAAAAAAAGATGCGAAAATGAAAGAAATGCAACTTCTGCTGCAAAAAGACTGAAATGACACAGGAAGAACGATAAAGCGTCGTCAAAGAGAAACACGTTTGCCTTTATAAAAAAAAATCAGGCTGCCTACTATAAATGTAAAATGTTATATCATCAAGCCTTACTGTTACTTTATTTTGGTTACTTTCTACGAAAAACCATTTTTTAGCTCCCCGCCCGGAACTTGATAAAAAATGTTATCCAAGATATCGCACCAAAAAATACAACCTTTTCAAAAAATCAAATCAAATCAGGCCGATCATATTTATCGGTAGAAACCCTCGGCGCAAGTTTTACGTCATTTTTTTCGACGTAAAAATTCACGAGGCCCTAAAAAAATCCAAGTTTTTTTAATATTTTTCCAAACCTCGGAGCATTTTTCTTCCGTTTTTTTGGCTAGAATTTTGCAAGAGTTGCAAAAGAATGACTTCTGATTTTTTTATTTTTCGAAATATTAGACAGAAATCAAATTTCTTCTCTTTTTTTCTTTTTCAGGTCAGATTAAATATGAAAACCGGTACTAGAATCAAAAAAAGAATATTAAGAATGAGAAGGAGGGATCCAGCTTTTTCCTAAGAGCTTCCTAGAAGATATTTATTAGAAATAGGAAAAATTATGATAGATGGTAAAATATGCAATTATTGGATAAACCGATGCAAAGGGTTCACTCAGACTGCATTGGACCACTCCCACTGACCCTAGAAGGGAAACAAAAACATCGTGCTGAGGGTCTGCGCATTCACAAAATTCACGATGGAAGAAGCATTATCAGACCAAAGAGCGCATATGACCAAAGTATCGTGGTCATGGTCTGCGCCTTCACAAAATTCACGATGGAAGAAGCATTATCAGACCAAAGAGCGCATATGACCAAAGTATCGTGGTCATGGTCTGCGCCTTCACAAAATTCACGATGGAAGAAGCATTATCAGACCAAAGAGCGCATATGACCAAAAAAAATTCAAATCTCGCCGATCATATTTATCGGTAGAAACCCTCGGCGCAAGTTTTACGTCATTTTTTTCGACGTAAAAATTCACGAGGCCTAAAAATCCAAGTTTTTTTAATATTTTTCCAAACCTCGGAGCATTTTTTTCTTCCGTTTTTTTGGCTAGAATTTTTGCAAGAGTTGCAAAGAATGACTTCTGATTTTTTTATTTTTCGAAATATTAGACAGAAATCAAATTTCTTCTCTTTTTTTCTTTTTTTCAGGTCAGATTAAATATGAAAACCGGTACTAGAATCAAAAAAAGAATATTAAGAATGAGAAGGAGGGATCCAGCTTTTTCCTAAGAGCTTCCTAGAAGATATTTATTAGAAATAGGAAAAATTATGATAGATGGTAAAATATGCAATTATTGGATAAACCGATGCAAAGGGTTCACTCAGACTGCATTGGACCACTCCCACTGACCCTAGAAGGGAAACAAAAAAACATCGTGCTGAGGGTCTGCGCATTCACAAAATTCACGATGGAAGAAGCATTATCAGACCAAAGAGCGCATATGACCAAAGTATCGTGGTCATGGTCTGCGCCTTCACAAAATTCACGATGGAAGAAGCATTATCAGACCAAAGAGCGCATATGACCAAAGTATCGTGGTCATGGTCTGCGCCTTCACAAAATTCACGATGGAAGAAGCATTATCAGACCAAAGAGCGCATATGACCAAAAAAAATTCAAATCTCGCCGATCATATTTATCGGTAGAAACCCTCGGCGCAAGTTTTACGTCATTTTTTTCGACGTAAAAATTCACGAGGCCTAAAAATCCAAGTTTTTAATATTTTTTTTTCCAAACCTCGGAGCATTTTTCTTCCGTTTTTGGCTAGAATTTTGCAAGAGTTGCAAAGAATGACTTCTGATTTTTATTTTCGAAATATTAGACAGAAATCAAATTTCTTCTCTTTTTCTTTTTTTTCAGGTCAGATTAAATATGAAAACCGGTACTAGAATCAAAAAAGAATATTAAGAATGAGAAGGAGGGATCCAGCTTTTCCTAAGAGCTTCCTAGAAGATATTTATTAGAAATAGGAAAATTATGATAGATGGTAAAAATATGCAATTATTGGATAAACCGATGCAAAGGGTTCACTCAGACTGCATTGGACCACTCCCACTGACCCTAGAAGGGAAACAAAAAAACATCGTGCTGAGGGTCTGCGCATTCACAAAATTCACGATGGAAGAAGCATTATCAGACCAAAAGAGCGCATATGACCAAAAGTATCGTGGTCATGGTCTGCGCCTTCACAAAATTCACGATGGAAGAAGCATTATCAGACCAAAAGAGCGCATATGACCAAAGTATCGTGGTCATGGTCTGCGCCTTCACAAAATTCACGATGGAAGAAGCATTATCAGACCAAAGAGCGCATATGACCAAAAATTCAAATCTCGCCGATCATATTTATCGGTAGAAACCCTCGGCGCAAGTTTTACGTCATTTTTTTCGACGTAAAAATTCACGAGGCCTAAAAAAATCCAAGTTTTTTTAATATTTTTCCAAACCTCGGAGCATTTTTTTCTTCCGTTTTTTTGGCTAGAATTTTTGCAAGAGTTGCAAAGAATGACTTCTGATTTTTTTATTTTTCGAAATATTAGACAGAAATCAAATTTCTTCTCTTTTTTTCTTTTTTTCAGGTCAGATTAAATATGAAAACCGGTACTAGAATCAAAAAAAGAATATTAAGAATGAGAAGGAGGGATCCAGCTTTTTCCTAAGAGCTTCCTAGAAGATATTTATTAGAAATAGGAAAAATTATGATAGATGGTAAAATATGCAATTATTGGATAAACCGATGCAAAGGGTTCACTCAGACTGCATTGGACCACTCCCACTGACCCTAGAAGGGAAACAAAAACATCGTGCTGAGGGTCTGCGCATTCACAAAATTCACGATGGAAGAAGCATTATCAGACCAAAGAGCGCATATGACCAAAGTATCGTGGTCATGGTCTGCGCCTTCACAAAATTCACGATGGAAGAAGCATTATCAGACCAAAGAGCGCATATGACCAAAAAAAATTCAAATCTCGCCGAGCATATTTTTCGGAATTTTTTGTTTTTCAACTTCTCGGAGCTTCATTTCCTTCGGAAAAGAACACGAGAAAATAAATTTCAGCTCTATTTTAAATAAGATCTTCACCTCATAATTAATTTTCCGACTAGTAAATAAAACAATTATCTGGTGTTACAATCGTAAAATCGAAAGATCACTCTCATCTGTCTTTATACATAAATTTTTCAGCTCGGAGCTTCATTTTTAATGAAAACGAACACGAGCAATAGACATTATCTCTAATCACCACTTGAACTAATCTCATCGTTTCATCCCCACCCACAGTCAGAGAAACCGTCTTCTACTAATAAATAGAATCCACTGAGCCACTACGTTGAAGAAGGGAAGGCTTAGGTCACATCCGGAGGAATTGTGACAGCGACGACCAAAATAGCAGAGATTTGGTCGATCGAGCAAACGAAACTCCATGCTTCGACCTCCCAATCACGGCGCACAAAGAAAGAACTTGGAAAGGCCGCCAAGGCAAAACGGAAGTCCGCCCTATCATCCCACCTGGAGTGTTTCAACCATTTCCGCATCTTCTACCGGCACCTCAGGTCTTCTTCAGAAACATTGGTCTACGAGAAGGATCCTTCGTCCCAATGTACGAGCAGAGACTGAAACAACTGGAACGAAATAACGAAAAACTCCCGGAAACACTCGCCAAAAGAGGTATCATTGACACAGCGTTCGAAGGAATCCAGAACATGACCTCAAGCATCGGATCGTCAATTTCGGGAATAGTCGAAGGAGCGAAAAACAGAATGGCAGACGGAGTCGAAAATATCAAGTGGGACATCATCAAGTTCCTACTCTGGGTCGGAACTCCGACTCTCATCCTCACATGCCATCCGTGGCATCTGCTGGTGCAAATGCTATTTTTGCAACATAACTTCGTCGAAAGCTTCCGCAGCCATCCTGAAAACCATCGCCAACCATCTGGAAGTCAACAACATAGAGCTCGAAGAACCAGAGCCGGAAATACCAGAACTAAGACCTTTACGCGAGAAGTTCTACTTGCCAGGAGTTTACGCAATCTTGCCTACGGAAAGAAATCACTTCCTACCTCACCTCTCGATAAAACTGGAAGAAACTCACGTCAATGCACTCGTAGATACAGGAGCATCTCAAGAACATTGGTGTGAACCCAACAGAACTGACGACGCCACTAATGGCAAGAACAGCGAACGGATCGACAGTCTTCTTTCTGGGAGTCATCACTCTCAACGTCACAGCGGGAAATACCCGGATCCAACACGCGTTCAAAATCTCGAGAGACAATGATTGCCCCGCTCAAGCACTCCTCGGCATCGACTTCATCCAAGCCATCGGACAAATGACGTTCGACCTAAAGTCCAATTGCCTCCATATCGGCGACGAGAAACTCCAATTGAACATGCTCATAGCAAGCGAAGATACGTCCAAGACCGACGTCGAACTGACAGCGAAACTGATCCTGGAACCTAGATCGGAAACGATTACTGCGAGAACCCGCAACAACAAAGAAAGTGGAGATTTGAAAACAACCTGAAGCCGTCCGACGACATCTACGCCGTTGGCAGATGCCTCGTCCGAACAGACGAAGAAGAAAATTGCGTAGTCAAAATCACTCTTCACACAGGGCCAAAGTCGGCCACGCATCCAAAATCTCCGAAGAAGATACGATCAACTCAATCGGAGGAGCAGGACCAGGATATAAGAAGCGGACTGGGAACAGCGACTTCCCCTACCACCGCAGCCGACTCCCGCGGACTACGACGTCGCCAATGAAATAGACCCCAAAGCCTTAATTTTTTTGAGAAATCACTAGTTTCAAAAACTCATAACTTTAGTTGTAAGTTTCCTAAATTTGGGTGTCTAGTACCAAATTACAACATAATTTATAGCCTTATAGAGATTAACTGGAACTTCAGTTTTTCCTTCTCCTTGACTAATTTTTAGCAGGAACTCCAATATTAAAGCTTACAGTCCGAGAAAAAAACTTGCGAGCCTCAAGAAACGTCGAAATTTTTAGGAAATTATTTTTCGAGACTTCAACAATTTCAAAAGTATATTACTTTTGTTGTAGGTTTCTAAATTCGAGTGTTTGGTACCAAAATACTCGTATTAATGCGCTAGATTCAACCAAAATCTTAGATATTAGGGAAAACCTCAAAAAAAAATCTAAAACTTAGGAAAAACCTTAAATTTTTTTGAGAAATCAGTAGTTTCAAAAACTCATAACTTTAGTTGCAAGTTTCCAAAATTTGAGTGTTTGGTATCAGTTGTTCAAAAGCACCAAGAGTATAAGAATGTCTAGTCTTTTCTGGCCAAGGTCAACAAAAGTTGCTCTTTCTAGCGGTTGCGGCTGCTATCCGACAGTTGTTTCCAACCTTCTATTTCTCGAAAAGCTTCTGCCCGATAATTAATCACGGAGCGGACTTTTCCTCTCTTTTCCGCCATTCGAATGATAAAAAAGACCTCCAGAGTCATGTGTTCCTTACAATCAGAGTCCTTGAGAACAACAGATCTGTATATATTTCAGAGGGACTTCGGCTATACAGGATTAAAAAAAACTAAATTCACATTCAAATGGTTTTTTTCGGACTGTACAGAGCAAAAATGGGCAGACCATTCTTAAAGGACATCTATATCTCGCCAAAAATGAGCGAATCTCGATTGAAGTTTGTAACAGAGTGCAAAATAATTTTCTTCAATTTTTGAAAATCTAACTTCACATGATTGCTCAGGATTGCTCATATTAGGGAATTTTTTCTGTAAAGCCCGTAAAGTTTTGAAGCGCTTTTTTTTCTCGAATTTATCAAAATCGAACATCACAAATGTGCTCAATATTGCTAATATTATTGAACTTTTTTTCTGAAGAATTAAACCCAGTATATAAAGTTTTGAGCCGGCTTTTTTTTCTCGATTTTTTCAAAACGACAAAAAAATTGCTCTCTAGTGAGCTCATTGAGGTTTAGGCGATTTTTCTATCTAAGACCCGAAAAGTCCAAAAATCATGAATAGCTTTTCTATTTTCACTTTTACCCCCTCAAATATATCAAAATCGTATTCACCACTCATTTTAAAACTTAGTGGGTAATCTCCAGAGCAGAAGACCAAAAAAAAAATGTGTTTGCAACTTGTTTTTCTCGAAATTTCTGTAGTCCAATCCCTACTTCTGGAACATGCTTCAGAGAGTACATAAATCCCTAGTACTTGTTTAATTCAACGCCTTTTTCTCAAAATTATCCCAGTGAATTCATTTTTAAAAAACCGGACAAATCGGGTTTTTGGATGAGCCGATCGGAAAGGTGATTTTTTTAAAATTAAAAATAATCAAAGTTAAAGTGATTTGACTAGGAATAATGGTACGTTTTTTTTTCGAAAGAATATGTAATTTGGAGTATTATTTTTCTCTTACGAAAAGCTTGAAAATGAGATTTTCTCCATAGGAAATGCTCATGAGGCAAAATAATAAAATTGATCGATTTTTAGCTTCAAAACTGTTTTAAAACACTACTTTTCTGTACTTATCACTATACACTCTCAAAGTTCTTACTTTCTCTCTAAAACCTTGAAAGACATTTTTCCCGGGTCTTAATCTCCTTTTCTAAAAAACATTTTTCCTAGGACCTTATCCATTTTTCTGAAAAATTTTTACCTCATCCCCCCTTTTCTCAACATCATCGATTGCCCGGATTGCAATCATTCTCATTGTAAACCACAGTTCTTACACTGCCCTCGGCCCACAACATTGCCCTTTCTGAAGGAGCCGCTGTCCTGAGGCTCCGCTCCGCTCCGCCCCCGATTCATTCGTTCGTTCGGCTCATTCCTCCGTTCCCTTCTCCTTCTCTTGTACCTTTTCCCATTAAATCACCTTTTTTTCGGCCAGGTTTCGTCTATATTATCTTTTTTGTAGAATGCAGCCTATTCCTTCATTATTAACTTGAAATGTAGACTATTGGACTGACCAATTTTGTTTCAAATACATTTTTTCATAGGTGATAATACAGTCAAGCGCTAATTTTTTGAATGATATTTCTGAAAATCCTGTAATACCTTCCAGAAAAACTCATTATTAAAGAGGGCCGTTTTTGAATTCATCAAACGCTGGTTTTCTTTTTGATGAGTTTATTTGGGAGATTTGTACGTTTTTTTCATTTTAATCAAAATTAAGGTGCAAGGCCCGTAGAATCACAACTTCGAAACAAGTTGAGTTTTCCCATTTTGAAAAATGACAGCTCATTTCCGTCTAGTCTTTTTCAAAAATTATATCATTTTCATCTCAAAAAATCTTTTCTGAATCCTGTCCCATGAACATCTCACTTCTATCTTTAATTTTTAACAATTCATATATTCATCTTTTTTTGTCCAATTGAAGCCGAGCACATTTTTTGGATTTTTTTCTATTTTTTCACCTAGGAGGATGTCAGAAATGATGTCCACTAGGCCTTCAGCTGTCTTTTTTTCCTCTCTTCCATTTTTTTTTTCAATATTTTTCGCCTAGGAGCCAAGATCAGAAACGATTTTCCCTAGGTCTCAAATCTATTATTTTTTTTTCCACCGCATCGACTGCAATGCAGACCAGAAACTGTAATATTTTTGATATTTTCATTCCTAAGATTAATTCAATTCCTTTGACTTGCTTCTGCAATTTTATTTTTGGATATTTTTTGACTGGAAGATAAAAGCAATGGTTATTCATTGTCTTAAAGTTCGGTTTCTGTTTAGTTTGGAAGCTTCCGAAAAAAATATAGGTCAATTTTTTTAATACAAAAAAACCTTTAGGTAAAAAAAGGAAACTATTCGCGCAATCCAAAAAATAGTAGTTTAGAGTCATTACCACCACGTATCGACCATGCATCAACCTTTCAACTTAACAAGAGTATTTCCATTAAAACTGTTCCAAAACCACAATTTTTCTTTATCTTTCGTCACAGTTTACAAACGGGAGAAATTTCAAAAAAAAACTCTGGATTTATAAAAGTAGCTTGACAAAGCATGTATATCAAATTGAACAGTGGAGGCGACCAAATAGAAAAATCCCAACCCCGTGGTTTACTTCGGGCACAATGCCATAAACCCAACTGAAGCTGAATATGAAATTTAGTATTCTTTTACCACTTCATTTCTAACCTCGGTACAATTATTCATGAACTTTCCCCGAGGCTTCGAGTCCCTTTTTCTTACAAGATTCGCAGATCCTTTTCAGAGCAAGTTAAGTTTCCATTTTTGCTCCATTTCCACTAAAACTTTTCCCGAAACCACAATTTTCTTTATCTTTTGCCACAGCTTCAAAACGGGAGAAATGACGTCTCTGTAATTTTTAGAAAATTCTTAATATTTAAAAGTAGATTGACAAAGCCTGTTTATCAGCCCTATCAATAGAGACGACGAAATAGAAAGTCCCAACCCCGTGGTTTACTTCGGGCACAATGCCATAAACCCAACTGAAGCTGAATATAACATTTAGTATTCTTTTACCACTACATTTCTAACCTCGGTACAATTATTTATAAATTTTTCACGAGACTTCAAGTCCCTTTTTCTTACAAGATACGCAAATCCTTTTCAGAGCAAAAAAAAAAATTTAAATCCAAAACTACTGTAGTTTTGAATTAGTGTGTACTAACATCATGTTTACCCCCTAACAACTCAAAATAACTCTTCCAAAAAAAACGCGAACAACAGCTCGAGTTTACCACGAATTGTTAAGTTTCCATTTTTTGCAATTGTGAGCATCATCAACCTCCTTATGCAGACTCTACACACGGGAAAACCGGTCTATCCACTCTTCGCCAAAAAAAAATCACACAAGAAACAGATCCCCAACCTCCAAGATATTCAGCCTACACCAGACTAACCAAAGAAAGCTGCAAAACTCCTGAAACGAATCAGAAAGGAACAGAGCCAAGACATTAATATGATTAACGCCTACTAATATAAAAAAATACAAAAATATTTTTCACAGCTAAATATTTTTGAAAAATAAGATTCAACAAAAAAATTATGAAAACATAGATTCAAAAAAATCATTTCGAACATACATCAATTCAACAAAATTTTCAAACTGGGTCTTTTTTTTCGTGCAAAGAACAAAAATAGAAAAAAAGTTAATTTAAAGTGATAAAACTCGACAAGAATTTTGTGACCGGCCAAAAAAAAAAAAATTAAACAAACCAAACCGAGCATACATTTCGGTGCACCCCGGGAGCATTTTTCAAGGTATTTTTTGATGGAAATTCACAGAATCGTCTCAATTTTTCTGAGCGAAATATCAGTCATAACTATTCCACGAGGCTCTTTTCAAAATTTCCGAAGAACGCTTGAATCTGGCTTTAAAAAGCTTTCCAAAAAAATTTTTATTTGATAAAATTTAGTTGAAAAAAACCTCATCAACTTCAACCTTGCTCAAAAAAACAGCCCTATAGTGATTACTTTAAAATCAAACTCATCTTTCAAAAACCCCGGCTTTTTCTCAAAAATTCAAGGGTAAAAAAAGTAGACGTTTAAATTTTTCTAACACATTTAATTTCCTTGTAAGAAGTCTCAAAGCCCTCAAAAAAAAATTTTTTTCGTTAAAAAAATCGAACAATTTCAAGATTTCTCAAGAAGACAAGGTTAATAATAGATTTTTGAAAACCTTAAGTTTTTCTCACCAAACCATTAAAAAAATAAAGCAAGCCGAGCATACATTTCGGTTCACTCTGGTATCATTTGTGAATGTCTTCAATTATTAATTTTTTTCTAAAGTTAGTTTATTTTTACTCTGGATTCACTCCTAGTACATAGGAATTTTATTTTTCAATCACTTCGAGCCAAAATTATATGAATTTTTAAGCATAAACTCGTATTTTTCAACTTTATAATTTAAAAAAACTCACACAAGGTCCTTTTAAGCCGATAAAAAAACATAAAATGTTTGAAGATTGTTGAAAAAAATGACTGAAATTTTTACAAAAAAATTATGAAAAGCTGCTTCGAAACTTACCGAATCGAGAGTTCATCTGAAAAGAAACCACTCATTTTGGAACCACAAGAAGATCGGAGATATGAAACTGAAAACAAAAAAATATAAATTTAAAAACTAGAAAAAAATAAAAAAATATAAAAGAGAAAAAAATTAAATCGAGTTTCCAGCGTTTGCGACGGAGTGTCTACGGGGTCAAGTGATACCGTAACCACTAGAAATCGCTTTTTTTCTAAAAGAAAAATTTTTGTTTTTATAGTTTATTTTTTTCAAAATGACATTTCTTTTTTTCATTCGCCTCATTTTCAAGAAGCCTTTCAAGCAAATTCATTATCTAATGATTAAAAACTCATTTTACCAAATTTATAAACCGACTGTTCAAGCTTTTTTTCGCATATTATTTTTGGGTAAGTTTGATATAAAATTTGATGTTACAAGTGTTTTTCAGAATAATGAAAATCCAAAAAAAAAATATGAGTTTTATTATAGGCGCACGCAAGGGGGCACACCGAGAGCGTCCCTTGTTGCAGAGGTTGAGGATTGGGAAGGCAGCCCTTGGCTTGGCGGCCAAGCCAAGCCATTTAGCCAAGCGATAGAAATTAGTCATTGACCTACTATTGAAAAAGTCATTTCTGCTTTTGGGCGTTCATGGCTTGGCAGGCAGGGCGGCCAGTGGGCTGCCATCCTCCACCTCTGCCTTGTTGCATTGAAGGGACGTTCCAGAAGACTTTTTCAAGATAAAAACTTACTTTTTCGGTTTTCCGGAGTTTCAGGTTGAAACAGGAGAGGGTTACAAAGGAGTTGAACTAGAAATGATCCTCATCTGTGTAAACGTCTTTTTTCTATATTATCCGCCACTCCGACTTTGCTGGAGTTCACGTAGTATGACTCAATGCAACGCGGTCGGGCTGTGTTTCCACTTTAAAACTTCAAATCTCGCAGTTACGCTAGCCATTCTCTGTGCGACGAATGAAGCTTGGATTGAATCAATAGGTATGATCTTTAAAAAGGTTGGATTTGAAGTTCACAGGGGAAGGTGCAATCCCATGTGTGAAGTTTGATGACCTGTCCATGCTAGACATCTCCTTTTTTGGATGGCGAAGTTACGGCTTGCTGTAACTATAGGTAATTCCGCGCCAGTTTGTCACGATTTCCAGTTTATTTAAAGCTACAGAAGCCCTTTCGGCGCTTCGCTCTCGGTGTGCCCCCTTGCGTGCGCCTATAATAAAACTCATATTTCCGAACTTTGGAATTTTATTATTCTCAAAAACACTTGTAACATCAAATTTTATATCAAACTTACCCAAAAATGGTATGCGAAAAAAGCTCAAACAATCGGTTTCATTAATAACAATTAAAAAGTAGTAATTCAATCTTTTTGATTTTCTTTTTTCTTACAAATTCAACACAGAATCTGAGTGTGTATAGTTAAAGCGAAAAATGAAATCAAACCATTGAAAACAACCTCGTTAATTAATAAAAGAGATAGAGGAAATTGAAGCAATATCTTAATCAGAAATAATGTTTTATTAAAGGCGCACGCAGGGGGGAAAACGGAGAGCATCGAAGCGAAGCGCCGAAAGGGGTTCCGTAGCTCCGAGGAAAATTAAAATCGTGACAAGCTGGCGCCGAATGACCTATACTCGGGCGAAGTCGGAATGACCGGGAAATTTTCAACTTTTTGGTCGTCTTCAAACCAAAGCAAGACAAAAAGACAATCCCTCCATCTCAAAGGTCAACCCGCACATGGCTGGCCGCGCTCTTTTGTATAAACATCTTTTTTTCGAATGACAATGTGTTTCGGCTCACTATTACAGAAAGTGCACTTTGCCAGCTGTTGACGCGGAAAGAATATTCTTGTAAACTTCTCTTTTTGGCCTTTGCAAGGCAGAGTCGTGTAACTGTGAGCCGAAACACATTTTCCCATCCGAAAAAAATGCGATGTTTACACAAAAGAGCGTGGCCAGCCATCTGCGGGTTGACCCGTGAGAATATTTCTATTTCTTCGACAAAGGAATGGTATTGTACCTTTGGTAGTTTTGAGAAAAAGAAGAAACTTAAGAATTTTAGAGTGATCACTATATGGGTTAGGGGGATAAACAGCCCATCTAGGAGCCGGAAAAATGGTCCTTATAAGAGTTCAGGATCGGACCCCTAGCCCCTAGTGGACCCTATAGGGGTCTTTCAATCCCATTCAAAAATCCCTTTTCATTCATTTCCCCATGGAAATGCTTCTTCGCAAAAAGTTCATAAAAATTGACTAGCATGTCCTCTATAAGGACCACTTCTGCAAGCTTTAGTGGCCCCTATAGGGGTTGATGAAGTGGTCCCTAGAGAGGACCCTCCAAAGGCCCTCAAGGTTGGCCCTATAGGGACCCCTCTGGAGATCCTAAGAAGCATGAAACAAAACAAAAGATAAGGAGAATTTTTATAATGAGAAAATTTTGTGATTTCTAAATGAATAAATGTTATAAATTCGGCACTGGACTCAAAATTTTCATCGAAATGATATTTGTTAAATTATCATGAAGCTCAAAGAAACTTCATCCAATCATTCAATTGATTGTCTCAAAGAGTCCGTATACCATTTCTAGTCCAGCCCCTTTGTGATGAACTTTTCCTTTTTCAACCTACACCCCCGGAAAACCCGAATTTCTAGTTTTTTGCTTAGAAAAACTATTATGGGACGTCCCTTCAAAAACAAGGGACAGTACCTGCGTGTTGGCGTCTTGCCACTTTTCGAAAAGATGACGAAGAGCCTGGTGCCACCAGCGTCCCTTCCACCGGCCGACCGTCCCGCGGCGTCTTTTTTTTGTCAACTTATCGATTCCTCCGTTTGTCATAATGGAAAGGGGTTTGGTACAAGAGCTTTTTTGCCCTTGTAGGAATAGGATTAAGCTTTAGTGGTTCGATTTTATTTGGAAAAGAAACGAAATTTGATTTACTTTCAGAAAGTCCACCAAAATAGAGTGTGCCTATAATTATGACGCACAGTCCACAGAAACAAATTCAACACTATCAATACACATTTTCAATCATAGATGAATTTTTTGTCAAATCCAAATGATAATCATTTTTTTTCTATAACTTTGATGACTACAAGATAGTGAGCAAAAAAAGTGGAACAAATAAGTTTCAAAACAACGTTTTATGGTCATTTCGGAATGGGATTTCTTCACTGGCAACTTTTCCGCTTTCTTCTTGTAAAATCACCTACAGCTTCAGATGAAAACTAAATTTGAAGTTTTTCTCTCCAAAAAAGACATTTTGGACCGTCCCTATAGTGTAAAAGGCGTCTTGGCTTTTGCCATTTTTCGAAAAGATGAAAAGATGACGAAGAGCCTGGTGCCACCCCCGACCCTTTCACCGGGGGACCGTCGCTCGGCGTCTCTTTTTTTTTTGACATTCTAGATGTTTCGATTCCCTCGAGTAGAAACAGGATCTTATAAAAAAAATTGGACAAAGTTTTGAACAGGTTGAAGTGAAAGATAGGAATTTTTCGAAACTTGAACTGAACTATGTGCTCAGTTCCTACGCAAGGAAAAAAGTGCAGATTGAAGAAAAAAAACTCATTAAATGCGCACAGAGAAGACTTCTGATAAAAAAAAACAATTTGTTTCAATTGATCAAAAAAGCGCAGAAACAAAACGTGTCTATAATTATGACGCAGTGCCAGGGTTCATGTCCCTTGTAATGAGATCATAGTGGCATTTTTCAAAATTTGGAGCAGTCATTGTTTTTCAGAAACCTTCATCTCAACTTTTTAAGACAAAACCAAATTCGATTAGAAAAAATCACGCGGTCTAATCAGGAGTTTTTCTGTGAGACCTAACGATGCCGATTTCAAACTTACTTCCACGATTTCTAATTTTAGCAAGTCCCTCTATTGCAAAAAGGGACAGTTTTTGCCTGTTGGCGCCTTGCCAGTTTTCGAAAAGATGACGAGGAGCCTGGTGCCGCCAACGTCCCTTCCATCGGCCGACCGTCGCTCGGCGTCTTTTTTTTTGAGCTTTGTCGATTCCTCTACTAATGGATAGGGGGTTTGTTACAAGAGCTATTTTTGTTTTTGAAGGAAAGAGCATAGGAAGATGAAAAGGTTGAAAAAAAACCAAATGAAGATAAATCAAACAAAAAATCTAAAAAAAAACTACAGAGCAGATAAATTGATGAACTGTTTTAGTGGTTCGGTTTCATTCGGAAAAGAAAAGTCTACCAAAATAAAGTGTGCCTATAATTATGACGCATAGCCCACAGAAATTAATTCAATACACTTTTTTTCGTCAATTTCAAGTTATAATCATTTCTTCCAAGAATTTCGAAAACTACAAGATAGTGAGCAAAAAAAGTGGAACAAATAAGTTTCAAAACAACTTTATGTGGTCATTTCGGAATGGGATTTCTTCACTGGCAACTTTTCCGCTTTCTTCTTGTAAAATCACCTACAGCTTCAGATGAAAACTAAATTTGAAGTTTTTCTCTCCAAAAAAGACATTTTGGACCGTCCCTATAGTGTAAAAAGCGTCTTGGCCCTTGCCATTTTTCGAAAAGATGAAAAGATGACGAAGAGCCTGGTGCCACCCCCGACCCTTTCACCGGCCGACCGTTGCTCGGCGTCTCTTTTTTTTTTGACATTCTAGATGTTTCGATTCCCTCGAGTAGAAAGAGGATCTTATAAAAAAAATTGGACAAAGTTTTGAACAGGTTGAAGTGAAAGATAGGAATTTTTCGAAACTTGAACTGAACTATGTACTGAGTTCCTACGCAAGGAAAAAAGTGCACAATGAAGAAAAAACTCAATAAATGGTACAAAGAAATTTTTGATGAAAAAAAGATCGTGTCTATAATTATGACGCAGTGTCAGGATTCATGTCCCTTCCTCAAATGACATCATAGTGACATATTTCAAACTATCGAACTTTCATGGGTTTTTCAGAAACCCTTTTTTTATCAATTGAAAATTGATTCAGAATCGACTTTAATAAAAACCACATTTTTCTATTTTTTGAGATGCTCCTCCGTGGGTTGAGATCATCGTCTACTGAGACCTCATGCCAATTTCAAATTTTTCTTCCACCATTTCTGACTTCAGCCAGCCCCTCTGATGCAAAAAGGGAATGTTTTTGTCTCTTGACCCCTTGCCAGTTTTCGAAAAGATGACGAGGAGCCTGGTGCCGCCGGCGTCCCTTCCATCGGTCGACTTTTTTGTGAACTTTTGTCAACACCTTGTAGACTCTTCTTTGTAACATCTCAGACTTCGGATATGTATTTCCAAGTTTTCTATTCCCGTCATATACTTCATTCACTTCCTTCCAAACTAACTGTATTTTTTCGTTCAAAACTTAATTCTTGTTCTCTTCTCTGTTCTTGAAGTCCAACCCTCCGTTGAGACAATAAAAATGGTCTCGCAGAAATTTCACAGCCTATCTTCAGACAACCTACAGCTTCCAAAAATCTTTCAATATAAATATTTTCATATTTTCCAGTTCAATGTTTCAGAAGCACTTGACGTCTGTTCCGATAAAGTTCTCCTTTCTCCATCAAAGTCACTCGAAAAAAATTCTTCCTTGAATCGAACTATCTATTACCGGAAACAGACCGGTAAAAACCCTTATGAAAGTGCACAGAGACAACTATTGACCGTAAAAACGAACTGTTTCTATAATTATGACGCAAGGAAAGGATTCATGTCTGGAGCCATGGAACCTATGGAGTATGGAGCTACAGAAACCTTTGAGGTAAGTTAATTCAATAATTTCTACATTTCTATCACACTCGATAAAGTCTTTTTCCATAAAAACCACTCAAAAAGAAAAACTTCTGCTCTTTTCTTTTTATCGGCTGAACTATCCCTTTCAGTTGTCAACCACAACTTCTACTTTTTTTGGTCCCCAATCCCCATCTTTTAAATTCCGTAAGAGACGAAGAGGAGCCGCTGCTGCCTCGAAGCTCCGCCCACATCAAGCCCCGCCCATCCGATTCACTCGGCGCCGGCAGACCGTCGCTCCACGCTTTTGTCATCCTTTCCACATTCCTTCCAAATTTCCTTTTCTTCACTAGTTTTTTTGAAACAATAAAATGTCCCAGAGGTCTTGGAAGCCCTCGAAATTTGGACAAAGTGGTCAGCATTTTTCACTACTATCTTAGGAAAATAGTTCTTCAGTATTGGCTTGAAATGCAGATTATTGATAACCAACTTTGTTTCAATTTCTTTCTTCTTGTTTTGGGGATGTTCCTACAGTCGAGCGCTTTTACTGATTGATACATTATTTCACGGACCCCTACAAACCCGTGCATGAACTTGCGGAGTTGGAGAGAAAGCCGCTTTGAACTTCATCGCTGGTGCCTTCATTCCAAAAGTCGGAGGTTTTTGAGCTACCGATTTTTCTCAATTCAATCAGAAGACGGTGCAAAAACTGTGGGACCACTTTCAGAGAGGAAACGAATTTTTGGAACAAGCTGGGTTCCAATTTTCCGAATTTCTGCTGGTACTTTGAAGAAATTTGAAAAAGATATATAGTGAAAAAGCTGGCGGTATTTTTCTCGGCAGGTTTATTTCCAAGGTCCTTTTTTTCCATTTTTTTCAAAAAAACTAGCTTCAAAATTATTGATTTTTTCTTTCTCGTCATCCCTTCAAGATTCTTCTTTTTCCAGTTTTTCCAGTTTCTTTTGTAAAAATTGTATCCCTACAGTAATGTGATCATTGGACAGTAAACCGACTTATAAGAACTTTCCTATCATTTTTTTTCTTATTATTATTTGTTTTTTTTCTTTTTCTCAACCTCGGAAAGTTAATCTCAGCTGGCTCTTCCAACGGAAGAGTGCAATATTTTTGCACGAGGCTTCAAGAATTTTCTCATTTTTTTTTCAAATTTGAGAAGACTTCAGATTCTCAATGAGATCGAATCTATATAAGAGGGACAACTTTTTATCATTTTTTATAATTTTTTTTTGAAACTTCAAAAAGTCAAAGCTTTTTCTGGCCAAGAAAAATACGAGAAGCTTCCCGTCATTCAGTCTACGGTCATAGTCCAAAGTTTTGAGGTCGTTAAGGCCTTTTTAAGGTCTTTAAGGCTTTTTTAAGGTCGCTAAGGCCTTTTCAAGGTCGTTAAGGCCTTCTCAAGGTCGTTAAGGCCTTTTCAATGTCGTTGAGGCCTTTTCAAGGTTGTTAAGGCCTTCTCAAGGTCGTTAAGGCCTTCTCAAGGTCGTTAAGGCCTTTTTAAGAACGTCAAAGGCTTTTCAAGGTCGTTAAGGCCTTATTAAGTTCTTTAAGGCCTTCATAAGGTTGTTAAGGCCTTTTCAAGGTATTTTGGACCTTGCCTATGTCAAAATTTTCAAGGGGAACTAATCTCGATATACATTATTTTAATTTAGCTGTGCATAGTTCTCAGTATTTTTTTTTTCTATCAATTTTCACCTTGGAGTTAGGATCAGAAATGATTTTCCTGAGGCTTCATAGAATCTTTTTTCTTTTTTTCAGCCCGGAGCAATTTCAGAGATGATTTTCCCGAGGTCTCAGAATAAATCAATTTTTATCGATTTTCAAACTAGCCATTTTTAAAAATATTCTCCGTTTTTTTCATCAAATATTCTTCAATCTTCCAAGGACATTATAGATTTTTTTAAAAAAATTAACATCTTACTTCCGAAAAAAATCAAATGGAAATGTATAATTGTCGCAAAAAAATTTGAAAGAAATAATCGAGGCAACGAATCAAATTATATGATTTTTCAGAGAAAATTTTTCTTTTTTTCAAAAAAAATATAATAAGTTATTTCAATAATCACTTTATCAGCTCAAAACTTGAAAAAAACTGATTTTTTTATTCGAAATCCGGAAGGCTACGATCCAATCGAAATTCGCTAAGGAATCCCATGGAAATGATAATTATTTAAAAATTCCGGATTCGGAATCCACGGCAAAAGATCATTTTTAGTGATCTATTCACATTCTCGAAAAGTACCAAAAAAGGAAGAAAAAAGCCAAGAAATTATATATTGGATAGGTTCAAAATCAACTAGGGCCGAGCATAATTTTCGCCATTATTTTTTCATCTCGGAGCTGGTTTTTTGGCCTTTTTTGCTTTAAAACCACCTAGGACCTCAAAAATCCATCATTTTTTTAAAAATTATCATTTCTCAGGGATGATTATATTTTTTCTGCTGTCTTCAAAATTTCGAGAAAAGCTTTTTTAAAACAAAAAATCGACCCAAGTTTTATTATTTTTCACGATTTTCCCTTCAAAATTCACAGAATATCTTAGCTTTTTTTCTTGTTCCGACATTTCCTAGGAGAGCTGGTTTTTTTCAAAATTCTGGAATTTTGAATTTTAACTAGGCCTTATTGCATTCGGAAAACGAAAAAAACGAATTTTTGGTCACAACTTTCTTGTAAGGAATTTAATCTTTCTGAAACTTTCTTGAGTTGTTATGACTGTCCTTTTTACCATTCTGATAAAGTTTCAGCTCACAGAAAACAAAAGAAGCTTCAAAAATTTTCAGGAAAGTTGGACAAATTCGCGTTTTTTCACGATTTTTTTCGAAACTTACGAAATATCATAGCTTTTCTCTATCTATATCACTCTTGACACCTTCGAGAGCAGTTCGAACTCGAGCTGATTAAATTACAAGCTTTTTCAATATGAGAATGCACGGAATTGACAAAAAGGGGTATACGAAAAAATCAACAGGTCGAGCACAATTTTTCGCCATTATTTTTTTCATCTCGGAGCTAATTTTTCAGGCCTTTTTTTGCTTTAAAATCACCCTGAGACCTCAAAATTTGATATTTTTAAAAATTACAATTTTTTTCAATCATCAGAAAAAAATATTCAGGAAAAAAATTGAAAAAAAAATTTCAATCTGGACCTCAACATTCTTTGGACTAAAAAAAGCAGCCGAACATTATTTTTCATTTTTTGAATTTCACAAAAAAATGTCACTGTAAAACTCTCTTCTTGTTTGAAAAATTAATGAAAAAAGTTGACGCCTTTGCATCAAAAAAAAATTATTTTAAAAAATTCAGCCAAAAAAAGAACCA